AGAAAGCAGTCAGCGAAGGCCGTTGGCCTCAGGAGGGCCAGCCAGACCCCAGGGCTGGGGCTGGGGCTGCCCGCTCCCCCTGTGGTACCCCCCGGCAGACAGGGGCACCGGGAGCCCCCTCCTCACATCGGCTGCTCCGTCCACTTAGCACATCTAGACCCCAAAGCACCTGTCTCAGCCCCAGCTCCGCGCAAGCGCCGACCCCTCGTCCTCCCGAGGGGCGGGGCGGCCCACAGGAACCGGTTCTCCGCCCGGCCGGTTCCGCAGGCAGGAGGCGGGGTGCTTGGAGGACAGGCCGGCCGCCTTGGGGCTGGTCCCCCGGGAGCCAAGCGTGGCGGGGATTCCGGACCCGAACACCAGGGGCTGGGCGCCCGCGGAGCGCCCTGGGCTGCCCCTTCCCCTTGGAAAGAAAACCTTCCTTACCTAGGACCCCTGTACTTTGTGTGGACAACGAAGGGGGAGATACAAAGGCTCCTCCTCCAGCCCTGCCCCATCCCCATAGACGGTTTACGAGGCTTCCTGCTATGACCAGTGCGAGAGGGGGTGGGATGTGGGCTCCTAGCTGGGAAACGGAATTCCAGATTTGACAACTTCCAAGAGACCAGAAGGGCCCAGCTAAAGAATGGTACTTTGGAAAAAGGCAGCAGTTGGGGATATTGTCCCCACGTCTTCCTTGTCTTGTACTCCCACAAGCCCCTGCCTCCTTCAGTATCTGGGGCTCCTCTTCTTACTGATCTGGTCCCGGGACACCGGTGGTACCAGGATACCAACCAAGGCCCCCTTTCAGCACTTTAACTCTCCCATGGAAACGCCCATCCCTTTCTCTGTCTCATTGACAAATCTAGCTACACCTTAAACCCTTTTTTCATTCTGGTAATAAAAGTAACTGCACTGCTGATACCACTTTTAGAGACTAGAAATGACTGAGTGTGTGCACAGACATGTGGCCAGCTCTTGGATGGAAGCAGAGAAACCAGCTACTACCTCCCCTCACAGCCTGTGAGACTGATCACCATCTAGCTACTTCTCGGGGACTTGGGGTCCCTCTTGACAGTATTAAAGCCTGATCATCCTAGGCGCCTCCAGGCCAACCCAAAGATGTCAAGCCATAAAAGAGGAGAGGTCTTCTTAAAGCCACAAAAGCCTGCTGCCAACCTGGGGTCACCAGGCCCAGAATTCTCCTGGAGGCGCAGCAGCACGGGTCTCTTGTCTCCTTGGTATAGATGAGGCACGCTTAGGAGGATGCATCTGCCTTTTAAGAAAGCACAGTGACACATATCCCCTTTGGGGACAGCGGCCAAGGGTGGAGGTGGCCTTGCCCAAGTGGCAAGTGACAATCTTCTACCCAAGTGTTCCCAAAGACTAAGGAAGGGACACTCAACCAGAGGGTCACAAGACAAGGACCAGTATTCAGAGATTGCCTTCTGTCTCTGCATCGTGGAGACTATGGGTGCTGGTTACCCACCTGGGGACAGGCATTTTGACGGCCACCCTGATTGACATTTTCATGTTCCAGGAAGAGGACTAGCAAAGGGTGGGAATGGCCGCAAGTTCAGGCAAGAGCAGGCCCTCCTAAGCAAACAGGAAAATAACTCCCATTCAAGGAGGCAGCCCTCCCTGCGGAGGCCCTTTTCAAAGACCAAGCTTCACCCATCCATGTACTGAACACAGGGGTGCAGGACAGGGGCTGTGGAACCCTCTCCTAGCATGGCATCGGCTTCTTAAAAACTTACCCACGGTAGCCCAAGAAAGGCCACCCCAAACCTCTGCAAGAAACCTTAGTGCATATGAGCCAGCATCAGCCCCTCAAAGGCAGGAACCTGGGTCCCCAGGAGGGGCAGGTGCAGCTCAGGCCAACAGCTACCCGGCAGCCTCACAGCCCAGATACAGGACTGGAGATGGCACATCCGCTCTGCTTTTAGGTCCTTCTCACGGTTCTCAATTCTGTGAATTTCCCAGCAAAAAGTCGAGGGCGGGCCTCTCCCCGTCTGGAAGGAGGGCTGCAGGTGGACCTGAGATCTTCACCCTGGCACTCCTGGAGCACACATCTATGATGGAGTTAGTACTATGCAGGTGAGGTCTCTGGATAGTCCCTTACTGGCCCATCCCAGTTCAGGTCACCTCCCTCAGGTTTCTCCTGAACCCCTGTCTGCTCTGCCTGTCCCTCTCTACATACGGACCTTTTGTTGTTGTTGTTGTTGTTCAAACTGGGGCCATCTCTTTCTTTGACTTCTACACACACACACACACACACACACACACACACACACACACACACTGATTTTAAAAAATTTTAAACGAAAGCCCCTATGTATACACATCTAATTATCTTTACCAAGTTGTATTATTATGCAGTGTGTGTACACATATATCAATTTTTTTCCCATTTTTTCCAGGTTCTAAGCTGTTCTGCTAAATGTACTTTTGGGTGTGGGGCATAGCTGATATGTGTGCACATACACTAAATTTACAAAGGACAAAATAAACTGCAGCAAAAAACACAATCTTTCCTCCCCTCAGTCATCATTTCCTGACCCGGGGCAATGAGGATCAGAGTTTCTCGACTATCAAATCATCTTTAAAAGTCATAAATCGGTCATTTCATTTTATTCCCCAATGGCTTCCTGTGGTGCTGACAATAAAATGCAGCCTCCCCCACACCCCCCAGTCACTCCTCCGGGTGCCACAAGCCGGGCTCTGAGCCTCCTGACCCCCCAGGCTCTCTTCTCCAACCACAAAGCTGCACACTTGGTTCTGACATGGGCGTAGGAGGGCATCTGCAGGTACCTCAGCCTGGAATGCCCCTCTTCCCAGCTGTGTGCAGCTGGCTCCTTCTGTCTTCACGCCTATACTGAGTTCTCCCCAGGATAGTCTTCACTGGCCTCCCAATGCTCCCCCCCCCCGCCGCCGCCGCCGCTGCCACCGCCCTGCGCACCATTCCCCCGCCCCTGGTATTTCTTCTCATGATCTGGTACTGTCTTTATCACACCCCCATTAGAAAGCAGCCTCCCTACAGACAGGCAACGCACCTGTCTGTCCACCTAGTGTCATACCGCCTAGCACAGGCCTGGCAGGCAACTGGCACATTCCTTCCACAAGTTTCTGTTAAGGAAGGAGGCAGATGTCTTCTGCACCGTGTTTCAATTGCAAGAGGGCTACTGGCAGGATCTTTCCAACACCACGTTTTCTCACACTGGCCACCCTCCCCCACATGCCTGGTGAGGGTGAGAGGAGGAATGGGGTGCCCCTGGCTCTCCCTCTCTGTGCTATGCGGCAATAAAGACAAGAACTGGTGTCTACTCTACATTCCCAGAAACCCCTCCAACTGCCACTGGTAAGTTGGAGGTGACCCCATGGCTCCTTATTTATCTAAGTCCCAGATGCAGTATGCCCTGGCAGCCAGGCTAGCTAGAATAGGTTCTCATGCGAGCCCCAGCAACAGGAAATGGATACTACCTAGGGAATAGAACTCTCCTGGGCAGGCAGCCTGCCTGTCCCACCTGACTTCCCCTGAGCCCAAGACACCTGGGTTCCTCTCGGTGGAAATCTATCCAGTCCCAGCGACACAAATGCACACCCAATCCCGAGCCTGCAGCACAGACCAGGGTGTTCAGGGATACCCTCTGGAAGACCTTTCCTTCCTAGGGCTTTTTCCAGGGAGAACGCTCCACGGTGCCAAGAGGAGTTTTTTTTTAAGAGAGGAAAAGGGGGAATGACTGGCCTCGCACAGGGAGGGAAAGACGGAAGAAAAATTATGCAAGAAGTTTGATCTGAGGGATCAGAATCAATTAGAGGTGGGAAGAAGTGTGAGGTCTCTTCCCCCCCACCCCACCCCAGAAGGGAAAATTACTAAAATTGATTAAATGGACACACTCCCAAAGAGTTCTTCTGGGTTCAGTACAAGGTCATTTAAGTTGTAATGGCCGAGGTTGGAGATGCCGCACCATGACAGTATGAAGCAGGCCCTGGGCTCCATAACTGTTATTACAATAATGACAACAGCAAGCCAGGTGTGTGGGCACACACGTTTAACCCCAGCACTCAGGAGGCATAGGCAGGCGGATCTGAGTTCGAGGCCAGCCTGGTCTACAAAAGAAGTACCAGGGTCTCTCTTCTCTCCTCTCTTCTTCTCCACGCAAGTGTCTCTCCCACAGGCCTGTGCACTCTCTGTCCCTTTATCTCTAATAAACTCTTATAAGCGGAAAAAAAAAAAAAAAAAAAAAAAGAAGTACCAGGGCAGCTAGGGCTACACAGAGACCCTGTACCAAAAAACAAGTAATAATAATAATAATAATAATAATAATAATAAATAATAATTGACAACAGCTAACTTCCCGAATGCACACGCTGAATATGGTACCCAGGAATTCCTGCACGGTAGGCTAGTGCTCTACCACTAAGCTACACCTGATCCCAACAGCTAACAATTGCCTAGCACTTACTATGTGCCAGGCACAGCATCCTGAGATTACACTAAGACTTTTCATCCTCAAGACCACCCCACACGCGGTGGATATTGTCAGAATTTAACCTCATTTTACAGATAAGTAACCTGAACAAGGGGGATGGGTTAAACTGCCCATAGTGATCGGCATCACCAGCGACTGCACTGGTGTACAACTCCAGCTTCCTGGTTCTAACTACTGGGTTATCTGGCTCTCCGTGGTACAGGTTAAAGCCTTGCAAACAGTATCCTCCCATCAACACATGCCAGTTTCAAAAATAGGTGCACAAATCCTTTTTATTGGAGCACAGATGATGTTTGGAAATCGCCAAACTCAAGCTGCCCCTCTTGGTGAGGAACAAGAGCCAATCGTCCTGAATCCCAGCACCCGGAGAGGAACTTCCTAAGGCATGAAGTGGTTGGAAACAGGGTCTCTGGAAACCCAGCTCGGAGCAGCAGCAGCATCTCCGACTGCTGTAGGTCAGACCCCTCCGCCAGCGCCAGCGCGGGGGCGCCGGGCCGGAAATTCCCACAGAGCTAAAGCAAACTTCCCAGGAAAACTCCTCGGCTTCCTCCAAGCCCTGGTCACGGAGATCGCTGCCAAGAGCGCCAGCTGCTGGGGACCCTCCCAGGCGGGAGCCGCCGCTCGAGTGCCCGGGGTCCTCCCGGAAAGGTCCAGGGCTGAAGTTCAAAACTCACGTCCAGCCCAGGCCAGACTCCCTGCCCCGCCAGGGACTCTGGGGCAACTCCCACTCTCGCGTCCTTCTCCTCCAGCTCCAAGTAATGGGGCACCTCCTGCCAGGACATCTAGGCTGGCTGCGGGGAGATCTCTCGGGCGACTCTAGAGCTCCTGGGGAATCTGAGCAGCCGCAGCCGGCGCGTGTGCACACACACGCATGCACACACAAACACACTCGCGTGAGTATGTGTTTACGTACCGAACGTGGGGTGGGAAAACAATGGCGAACCGCTGGGACTAAGCGACCACCCCCTTCCTCATCCCACCAGCCCTGTGCTCAATTTATTTCTGCCGTGAAAAGGGGTGTGTGTGTGTGAAAGGCGCTCCTCCGACACCCCATCATGGGAGATAGGGGTGGCAAGGGGCAGGCTGGCGTGGAGAGAGGACAAGAGCAGCAACGGCAGAGAAACGGGAGGCGGCGCCCGGCTGATAACGCCGGGAATGAACGGGAGCCGTGGGAAGGGTGCGCGCTGGACCCTAGCGGCCCCTGCACCCAGGCACCGGAGTTCCGCGTCGCGGGCACCCGAGCCCCACGCTGGGCGCGCACCGGACATCTAAGCTCGGACTGGGAATGCTAAAACTGAGCGGGTTGGTCAGGCTGGGGAGAAAGACCTGGAGCCGGCGGGTCGCAGAGGGGCGGGCGGGTTGAGGACTCCCTAAGCCCAGCCCGCGCAGCGCGCGCACGCCACCCCCCAAAGGCTTGCAGCCACTGCTCTCCAAAAGGACTCGGGTCAGCGCGGCGCCACCGGCCGGCGTTGTGAGGGGTCCGGTAGGATCGGCTCCGCCTGGCAAAACTTTGCCCAAGATGGAAAGTCGCGCCGAAAGAGAGCCAGTGTGTCCCCAGGAACGCGGGGGCGCGCGTGTCAAACTTCGCGAGGCTGGGGAGAGGGGTGCACTTACTAATCGGTCAGGCGCTGGCCCGGGGTCGCAGCTCCGCGCTCCCGCTCCTGCTCCGTACGTCCCGGCGATGAGCAGCCTGGCCTTCCCGCTCACATGCCCCGGCAACGCGGCGAACAGCGAGCCGGGGCGGCGCGGCGGGGCGGAGGCACGCCCCCCGCCGTGGGCTGGAGG